TTTGTTTTTCTGTAACATTTAAGCTGAATGCTACTTTTTGGACATTATGTAAAGTTCTTTTTTGGTATGTGTGAGGCTGTTTCTATTGTGACTGCATAAGTTATTGACAGTTCCTAATCTTTATGGTGCTATTGATAAGTTGCAGACTTTAAGTATTGCTTCCAGTAAAGCTTTCTATAGACACGTCCCTTTCTTGTTTCCTGTGGCAAGCATCTCATCTGGTTGTACTATAAGGGGCTAGCAGCTGGACCTTTCCCTTCTCCCAGCTGTGGTGGACTTCCTCCTCTGTCTTTTCCTGTAGTTTAATGTGGGCGAGAATTTCTCAGGAGTAGGCAAAGTCCCAGGAATGCTTCCCAGGATATAGACCCAGGAAAGTGACAAGGTCCCAACAGTGCAGACCTCAAATCTCAATAGTGCAGGGAGAGGAGAGAGTTAACTTTCCTTACCTGAAGGAATCCTTTGTTGTCTCTTGCAGTTCATGAAATGCTTACCTGTGTGGTACTCCCCTTTTAAGGGGAGAGGGAAGACTATTGCCCTAAGAATTGTATCCCTTGTCATTCCATGTGGCTGGTGGGAATGCCTGACCTTTTATTCTTGAAAAAGTTCTTATTTCAGTTTTTTTTTAATATGTAAAAGGAGATTGTTGTTGTTGTTGTGTACTGCTAAGGTGGAACTGACCCAGAGCTGACCATCCAGCAGGTTTTCAGAGGCAGTTAGTCACACATGAGGAAATTGACCATTCTTCTTCTGAAAAACAGCTGGTGGATTTAAAGAAAAATTATGTTCTAGATAATTTCTTGAAAAGTCCTTCAAATCAAATGAAAGAATATTTAACTTTAAAAGGATTACCACATTTTCCATATCCCACACAACTAAGTGTGTTAGCCTATTAAAAAAATACAGACATTTCTTCCAAAACTACTTTTACTTGTCCTAATGCAGGTGTCCATGGATGCTGCAAGAGATTTTTAAAAACCTCATGTTTTAACATGAATGTTAGGGATTCAAGTGTAGCCAGGCAAAAACAGCTACATAAGAAAAGCTAGCAATCTGCTTCTGAAAAGTCGACACTGAAAGCCAAGAAGCATATGTCTACTCTAACACACATGAGGTCATGGCTATTAACATCCTAGAAGAACCATACCTCACAATTTACTGCTAACAAAGCCCACTGGAACTTATATCTGCATGTTTTAATTGCCTCTGAAAGGTGAAGCAGACATGAAGTCAGCCCAATGAACCTCCCATTCCTTGGAGAGTACAGGAAGAAAATCTGCTTGCCAGAAAGAGATACTCTGAGATCAAAGCCTAGGGATACCCTTGCAAATAACTTTAAACAGCTGTAATAGTGGGGGAAGGGTATAACCAGAGAAAGGAACAAAAGACTCAATAAAGACAGTAGTAGGGACATGTTGGAGGGGAAGAACAGGAAATCTTTCAAGAGTGAAGAGGAGGCTTCAAATGAAATTGAGACCAACAAGAAGCCAAAACAAGCAGGAGGTGATGGCTGCATTGGAGATTCACTTCCAAGTATTTGCAACTAGTAGGGAAAAAATACGACAGCAACTTTTGAATAGAAAAGTTAGCTGAACTCTAACAGCACTGTGCTTTACAAAGTATTGAGGGAGGAGGAAAGGGCATTTTGTATTCTGCTCCTCTTTCCTGAACCACGTAAATCTGGGGTTTTGCCTTATGTATTCAAATCTTACACAGTTTGAAATCTTCAGATAAAGCTTCTATATATGTACAGGTTTCCTATGTAGAAAATTGTTGGTTTGTTTTGGGGGTTTTTTACTTTTTTACATTGATGGATAGATCAGATACTGACATTATAATGTACTAATGCCTCATGTGTACGCCAAATAACTGGACAATTAGTTGCTAATGGATAAGCCAAGGGCACCAATCTATCTACTGAAGAGAAAACAGTACTTTTTGTTTTAAAGACAGAACAAGTTACCAAAACAAGTAAGGTCAGTGGTAGCAAAATACTAGAGGAGCAAAATAAAAATGTTTAAGCTTGAAAAAATTATAATTTGAACAATGCTTTTCTTATTATAACACTTTAGGATATGGGTTGGTATAGATTAAAAAGAATTTGGTATTTCCTTTTTGGTGGAAATATGCTAAAAACATTCTCCCCTTTTTAATGAGAAATGGATACAAGAAAATATAAGGTATTTGTCCAAAATAATATAACTCTTAAGTGACAGTCTCAGAATTAGAATTCTTAGGAGTTAATGATACATGCTATAAAATCCTAGTTAACAATATCTTGGGTTCAAAGTCTTGATAATAGTGGCATCCAGACTGAAAAGATGCATTTATTCAATAAGCTTTAAGGATATATGTGCAAGATATTCTTCAAACATGGAATAAAATGGAAAATGAGATGGGCTCCTTCTAGGAATTTACAGCAGGGTTGGGATAAGTCAAACAGAAGGGTAAACTGCTTAGGGTTCAGCCTATCACAAAAACATGGATGATGGTCTTTGAGGGCTTTAAAAAATAAGCCAATATTTGCAAGGGAGGGAAGAAAGACTATACTGAGTGGTAATATCTGAATGTGAGCTTGAAATATTAATGACAATTTTTTAGGACCTAGAGGATCAATGACATCATGCTTGGGAGGGTGGAGGGACAACACAGGAGGGGAAGGCCCTCTGTGAAGTGGATTGATTCAGTGACTGGGATAATCGGGATGGGAGTGCCAGAGACAGTGCGATTGGCACAGGACAGAGCAGTTTAGGGCTGTTGCACATAGGGTCGCTATGAGTCACAAGCAACTCGACGGCACATAACAACACAACAACAGAGGATCAGTGATGTTCTACATGAAAAAGCCTAATGTATGTAGAAAGAGGGAGAAAATGGTTAACTAGAGAATGATAAAATGGATTTTTTCACCTTAAGTAAATATTCAAACACTACTGAAATGAAATGATCATTAGAGAGAAAGAGAAGCATGAAGGCATCAAATGATGAACTTCTTCATTTTTATAGACCATGCCAGTAATTTGAGCTTTGGTTTCTTATTGGTAATCAAGGGGTGGGGAAGATCTCACACACACACACACACACACACACACACACACACAAAACCACCTCTAAAATGCCAGAAGGAATCTTCTCTGAAATTATTTCAGAATAGATTATGGAGTTGCATGTTAAGAGATCATTTTGCTTCTATGGTGTTTGAGCATTTACTTAAGGTGACCAACTCTCCTGGTTTTCCTAGGACCGAAAATCCCACATTGTAAAAAAATTGTTGTCCCTAATGTTTCACTTGAAACATTAGTTTCTGTGGCATTGTATAAAACTGAGGGTGATATGATGATATATATGGTATACATATAGACCATATAGACATAGTGTAGGAAGGGGATAGAAAATAGTTAATGTCAGACACAGCTCTTTTGGTCAGTAGGCGTCCAGACACTGTAAAGGGCTCTGAATTATTTTAGGTAGCCCCTGAGCCCTTGGAAAGATTATTTCTATGCTCACCTCCAATTTATAAATAGACTACTAGAAGATAGAAGATGACGTTAGGAAAAGTGCACTTGATGTGCAAATTACTCTTGTCTATCCAAGGATCTTTATAGACCTTTGCAACTGCAGATAGAACAATATACAACCACAATGCCCATCCTTGATAAAAAAACCATAGTATTTATTGAATACTATGCATTTTCTAAACCACTATGGAAACTCTATGAACTTGGAGAAACGACAATAGTTAAAGAAAGACATTAGGTCTTTTGTACATGGAGTGGCTATGAGTCATGCTCAACTCAACGGCAATCGACAACAGCAACTATGCCAAACACTGTTCAGAGTACATTTCATTAGTTTAGTCCTTAAAATAGTACAAAGATTTAGATACTATGGATTTGGTTGCAACTTACAGCAATTCTTCACAAAATGGAAGAAAATATTTCAAAGTATTGCATTATCCTGACAATCGTTTCTAAGTTTAAAACTATTGTAGCCAATTTATCAATTGATCTCATGAAAGTTCTTGCTTTTTTAATTGATAAACAGTATTAATTTTTTTCCCACTACACCAGAGGCAAGGAAAAGTGAGTGATTTCCCCCACATTACCAGTGAGTGAAAGAGATTTTGCAACTGAGCAGCTGACTTCAGAAGCCAAGCTCTTAAACTATAATACATTCTCTTTATTGTGTGGCTGGATGGATGTACTGATGAGTTGGTTGCACGTATCAAGATGTGAAGAGAAGAGAACGTAATCAGGTTCTTTGAGGAGGAGGTTTTGTATTTCTTCACTATATTGAAGGGTATTAAATGGCATACGCATTTAAAAAAAAACACAGATATTCAAAAGCAAATGTTTTGAAGGCTACTTCTCCAGAAATTCTGAAAATTGGTAGATCCAGTTTGTGACTCAGAAGGTGTATTTTTAACAAATCCACGAAAATTTATATTTGGATCATTTCTATAATTGCAAATATCTGGTTCTTAGATAATTAAATAAGGTATAATCTGACTCTCTGGATCACAGATCAGAGAGAACAAACTGAAGACAATTTAAAGAATAACCTTTTTCTTATAGATTGATTTAGGTTTAATGTTACTGATTTTTTTTTCCTAGCTTGAAAAGTATACACACATAATTTGTTTCAAAGGAACTCTGGTGACACTGTATTATGTGTCGGTCAATGCTTTGGATCCATAAGCTTCTCTGTAGGGGAAAACTGAGCAGTGTCCTGTCTCAAAGATTTCCAGCCTTGGAAACCCAGATAGAGTCACTATGAGTCAGAAATGAGTTGATGGCAGCACAGTTTTACTCTGATACACAGATTTTAACGTTGGAGACCGCAATTATTTCCTGGAAACAACATCAGACAGATAGTTGGAGGAATGTGAGGAGAGAGAATAAGAGTAAGCATGAAAGTGATATTTGTTCCTATTTGAAAATAACCAGTATATACAGGCCATGCACAGAAATTGTAGAGGTATTGAATCTTTCTTTTTTATACTTCTCTTGGCAGGTATGATCAATAAAGCAATGCAAAGTGCAAATCAGACTTCCGTGTCTCACTTCATTTTGGTAGGCCTCCACCACCCACCACAACTGGGTGTGCCACTCTTTCTAGCTTTCCTTGTTATCTACGTCCTCACAGTCTCTGGCAATGGGCTCATCATCCTCACAGTGTTGGTGGACATCAAGCTCCACCGCCCCATGTACTGGTTTCTATGTCACCTTTCCTTCCTGGATATGACTATTTCCTCTGCTATTGTCCCCAAAATGCTTGCTGGCTTTCTCTTGAATAGTAGAGTTATCTCGTTTGGGGGCTGTGTAATCCAGCTATTTTCTTTCCATTTCCTGGGCTGTACAGAATGTTTCCTTTATACACTCATGGCTTATGACCGTTTCCTGGCCATCTGTAAGCCTCTACACTATGCCACCACCATGACCCGCAGTGTCTGTACGTATCTGGCTTGTGGTACCTGGCTTGGAGGCACTCTTCACTCACTCTTCCAGACAAGTTTCATTTTCCGACTACCTTTCTGTGGTCCAAACAGGGTAGACTACTTCTTCTGTGACATTCCAGCCATGTTACGTCTAGTCTGTGCTGATACCACCATCAACGAGCTGGTCACCTTTGTGGACATTGGCTTCCTTGCCCTCACCTGCTTTGTGCTTATTCTTACTTCCTACGGCTACATAGTGTCTGCCATCTTGAGAATTCGTTCTGCTGATGGGCGTCGCAATGCCTTCTCCACCTGTGCTGCCCACCTCACTGTTGTCATTGTTTACTATGTTCCCTGCACCTTTATTTACCTGCGGCCTGGCTCACAGGAACCTTTGGATGGGGTGGTGGCTGTGTTCTACACAGTTATTACTCCTTTGCTTAACCCCATAATTTACACACTCCGAAATAAAGAGATGAAAGCAGCACTGATGAGGTTGGGAGGTCACAAGGATGTACAGCCTCATTGACTGGATTCATTGGAAGATAAAATTCAGGGCACTAGATGGCATATGATATAAATGATAGATTTGTGACTAAAGGAGATTTGCTCATGAATAGAGTAGAACTTCTAAGTGGAGATATGGAAACCCTAGAAAGCTCTACCATGTACATAATTCACTCTCTAAATATTATTTCCCATGTTTCTCCTTTGAATACTACAAAAAAAAACCATCTAAAGCAATCAGCAAGGGTAATACTTTGTAGAAAATGTCCAAAAGAAATAAAATAGCACATAAAAGTTTATTTCTCTAGGGTATTCATCCGCTTGTATACCATACCTCCTAAATTTTATTAATGCCTGAAAAGCTTTTTTGGCGGTGGTTATGGCCAAATCAGCCTTGGACTCAAGATTATCCATGCACACAGCAAGATCAAACTATTATGATCCATAAAGTTTCACAGGCTCATTTTTTGACAGTAGACGGTCAGATCTTTCCTTTAAGTCTCTTATTCTGGAAGTCTCACTGAATGAAACATTTTCAAAATCATTGCATATACAGCTGTCAGTGGTAAGTGGATAGAGGTTGCACTTGAAGTACCTTGACCAGTAACTAACACCAGATTTCTTTCATCTGGAAGATGAGAGTTTTACAATCACCAAGGGTTCTTTGAAATAGCTCTTTATATGTTAAATAAATATCATATAAACCATCTGATTTTATCTTACTAATAATCATATAAGGGAGATAATATTATTTCCCAGGTACCTGTGGTGAGATTGAAGTTTTAGGAAGTGACTGATTTAAAAACTTTAAACTATCTAACTTTTTTTTTTTTTTCTCCATCAAGGGCTTTATTAACTTACGACTAAAATTATTGTTAGTAATGTTATTTTTTTTTTTATGGAAAAGTAAAAGAAAAGATTCTTTCATTGTTTTACAAACACTCCCCCAGGTCCCCTCCACCATGCAGCCCTCGCTCTAGTCTCCTGTGATGACAGAAATACCCAGTTACATCTCTCTTTTAGACGGTTCTCTCCCTCCTCTGTTTCAGTGCAGTATACATTATTGAACCCATCTTACTCAGTCTCTCCCCAACAGTGGCATCATGTAATATTTGTCCTTTTGTGACTGGGATATTTCACTCAGCATAATGTTCTCCAGAGTCAACCATTTTGAATAATATTGCATGAGTTCCTTGTTTTTTCTTGACAAACAAACAAGCAAAACACCCAACAAAACCAGCAAATCAGAAAACAAACAATAAGGACATCACAGGCGTATCACACCATTACCCAAAGAAGTCATATTCTGTAATACACGGAGTCGTGCTGCCACAGGCAAACTTGATGGTTACACTAACTAGTCTTCTGAGCTTTCAAAGAGTTCCATACTACTAAAACTGAACAAGGTAAATTAATAATAATTTCATACTGCTCATAATCTCGGACTGCCTGATGCTTACATGGATGTTGATGAAGCAGATCGTATATAATGGTAGAAAGTAGTGCTTTTTTGGTGTGAACTAGGACATGTTGTAATGGTTGTGAATGAGCTTGAATTCAGTCATGTGCCTAGATGGACAAAAAGGGTAAGGAGTTATCTAAGCTCCTAAAGTTTATTCTTGTTGCCCTTCTTGTGATACAGTTGAGAGCTTCTAAGTTGGGAACATCCTACATGGGTTATAGGATATAGAGTGCTAGAGATTCTTTTGTTAATGTTTCAAATATACATAGGCCAGTACAGCCCGAGGAGAGTATTTGTATTGCTCAAACTAGTTTCAATTGGTATAAAATGAAGAGAACTGGTTTCTACGGAAGAGAAGCTTTGGGATAAGAAAATTTTGTTTCCTATTCTAAATTAGTATATAAACTTATGGGTAAAGTAATTTATTAAAAGTAATTTATTTAAAGCAAAGAGATGAAACATGTGATCTTAAAATTGATAAAATTAGAATCATTTTAGTGTGCAGAAAGTATTGCAATAATTTAAGATAAAGAGACTGTTGCATCTGGAATTTATATATTTTACATCTTAGAAAAGATAAAGTAATCTATGGTTTAAAAAAAAATACATAAATCCAGTTGTCAGAGGACAGGAGTAAAGAGAATCTTCCATACAATGTGAACAACATAGACCCTTAGGGAGAATCCTAGAAGAATGCTCCAGAGATTAGTTAACTACCATAGGAAAAGAATATATGGCTGGTGGTATCAAAACAGTGACACATTTTATTTAACAAACACACAATCATGGTGTCAAGGACACCCAAACAATTGGCAGCACTGAGGGAATTAAGATAATAAGGTCTCCTGCTGACCCCAAGAAAAAGCCCAGATTAAAGCAAACAAGAATATGTCATTGTAATGTTTAGATTCTTTTTTAAGACTGCATCAGATAAACAAATAAAGTATCATATAACTATTTTTTCTTTCATTTTTAGGAGAGAAATTTTAAATTTGTAGCTTATCATTTTAAATGAAGAAAAGTACATCATAAAAACAACCACCAACAAATTTGACACAGTTAACCAGCATCAAAGTTGATGTTTTAAATAAAGTCTGAGTCCATAATTTAAGCTCTTAACTAGGAAGAATAATAAGCACATGTGTTTTGTACAACTGTATTTCACATGAAGTTTTTTCCTCTAAGTTTGTTTTGAGATACTTTAAACTTGAAAAAGAAAGAAATAAAGTAGAACAATGAAGTGATACTAGCTTATGAATAATTTTTTAATCTCGAGAATAGAGCTAAGAACATATTGTCTTTTGAAGTTTAAATATTAAGTATACGTTGCTCCACAGGATTTCATGCCAACCCTTTGGCTTCACAATTTAAAATCCAAATAAATAAATTCAGATAAAAATAAAACCTTCCATTTGAAAATATGAATCACTGATCTAATTTCAAATTAAAGAAAGGAGCAAAAAGGAAGAACTCCCTGTGCATTTCTCAAACTCCTTCCGCATTTCTCAAGCTTAAAGAACTGAAAAACAAATTTAAGCTTTGACTTAGAATGCTGAGCAACACTATGGGCAAAATCTTGAATGATCTATGGAAATATCAAAAGAAGATAAATGAAATACACAGAGTCACAGTACCAAAAAGAATTGGTCGATACTGAAAACATTCAAGAAGTACCATAGGAACAAAAGCCAGTGGTAATGGAGGAAAAAGTTCAAGTAGTATTGACACCATTTGCAAAAAATAAGACCCAGGAATCAGTGGAAGACAAACTGTAATGTTTCACCTAACAGATGCAACCTGGATGCCTTCACCAGTCTAAGCCAGCAAATTTGGGGGACATCTGTTTGGCTGGCTGACTATAGGAGATCTGTTGTTTCCATTCCCAAAGAAAAGTGATCCAACAGATTGCAAAGTTATTGAACAATATCATTAATAGAACATGAAAGCAAAATATTGCTAAAGATCATCCAAAAAAAGGGGGGGGGGGCTAGAACAGTACATTCACAGAGAACTGCCAGAAGTTCAAGCAGAAGTTTAGAAGAGGCCATGTCAGCAGAGATATCATCACAAATGTCAGATAGATCCTAGCAGAAAGCAGAGTGTATCAGAAGAATGTCTATTTGTGTTGTATTGACTATGCAAAGTCATTTGACTGAATTAAAGCAAAATTACACCTAACACTGAGATGGAGGAGGGGAACCTCAGAACACATAATTGTATTTGTGTGAAATCTATACTAAGATCACGAAGCTGTTCAAATGAAACAGGAATGCAGGGTTTCAAATCAGAAAGGGTGTGGATAGGGCTATTTCCTTTCTCCATACCTATTCAATCTGTATGCTGAGCAAATTGAGAAACTGGGCTCTATAAAGAGGAACGTGACAATAGGATCCGTGAAAGACTCATCAACATCTTATGTTGTGCAGATGACACTATCTTGCAGTGATCCACCAAAACAACAAACAAAGGGAAAGAGGAGGGGCACCCGCTACGTGTTCTCTCTGCCCTTTAGGAAACATGGAGTTGTTCCTCTGGCCACTTACGTGCGAATCTACAAGAAAGGAGATACTGTAGACATCAAGGGAATGGGTACTATTCAAAAAGGAATTCCTCACCCCTGTTACCAGGGCGAAACCAGAAGTCTGCAGTGTTACCCAGCATGCACTTGGCCTCGTTGTGAACAAACAAGTCAAGGGTAAAATTCTTGCCAAGAGACTTAGGCGTGTGTATTGAGCATACAAAGCACTCTAAGAGCAGAGACAGCTTCCTGAAAAGAGTGAAGGAAAATAATCAGAAAAAGAAGCCAAGAAGAAAGGCACTTGGGTCCCACTGAAATGCTGGCTCACTCCTCCCAGAGAGGCACACTGTGTGAGAAAGAATGCAAAGAAGCCCGAGCTGCTGGAACTTATTCCCTATGAATCCATGGTGTAATCAGGGTGAAATAAAGGTGTCTTAAAAAAATAAAAAGGAAGAAGAAGAAGAATCAACAGGTATGTATCAGAGAATGTGCACCCAGAGCGCTACTTGGAAGTAAAGATGATAAGGCTTCATTTCTCATACTTCAGGCGTGTTGCTAAGAGAGACTATACTTTGGAAAGGGATATCATGTCTGGAAAGGTGGAGGGTAAGAGAAGTAGAAGAAGATACCCACCAAGATGGATTGATAGAGTGACCTCAGCAATGGGTTCAAGTGTGTCAGAGAGATGTTGAGAATAGCACAGGATAGAACAGGATTCATTCTTTTGTTCATAGGATCACTATGAGTTGTACTCAACTATATGGCACCTAACAATAATAACAACAATAAAATTAATTTCTCTTTCCCCAGTAGCTAGCTAATAGTCACATTGCAATTTATTAAATATACATCTCTCAGGTACAATTGATATGTTAAATTCCTAGATGTACTAGAACTCATTTCTGGATTGCTTTAATTCATTGATATTTCTTAATCAGTATTTTTTTGTGTGTGTTTATATTGGTTTGCTTACAAACTTCATTATGTTTCACACAGTTCTTCATTTATATTGTGTTGTATACAATCATGCCCATGCATGTTG